ACAACTAAGACAGTAAATAAACACACAACTAAGACAGTAAATAAACAATATTAAAGAGCAGCATGTCTTTAGAGATGAAGCAAACTACACAGCCTGGTGAGGACCCACTGTTTCTTATGGGGACATAAGCCCAGTTCACATCCCATGTAAAGTGTAGGCTAGGTTTAGGGTCAAATGGTAATAGAAAATACTGGTAAATGAATGAAAGTCAATGCAAAGTCCCCATGAGGATAGAAGAACAAATGCGTCTATGTGTGTGTGTGTGAGGAGGGGACAGTCAGAGCGCTGCGGGGAGGAAATCAGACAGTTCAGAGGTTTCCTCATGAGTTGTTGGGACAGCTACAGGTTTTTGGTGTTTAGTTAAAACACAGATGGTGCGTTTAAGTTTCCTGTTATTTTTGGAGCTACAGGTAAAGTCTTGACGAGTTTGTCGCGTGTCTGGGGGAGGTTCAGCCCCCACCCCTTCTCCTCCTCCTCCTCTCTCTCTCTCTCTGTCTGTGTCTCCCCGCAGCGAAATTCAGGCTGTAGTGCTCCGACACTGCAGCAGCTGCGTTCTGCTTTGAAACATTTCTTTAGTTTGTTATTGCTACGAGCTCTCATGCTAACGTGAGAGTTGACTCCTCCCACACTAAGAAAACAGGAGGGGAGGGGTCAGCTGAGCTCCTGTGTAGCGGAGCACAGAGAGGGAGAGAGACGAAGTAAACAAACAAGCAGAGAATTAAACTTATCGACCTCATTTTTTTTACCGACCTCAAAATAACTTATCGTGCAATTAATTGATTTATTGACTATCGCGACAGGCCTAGATGACTGTTATACATGGTCACAGAGTATGACAGCTGTTGTCAGATGTGTGACTTCACTAAGGAAATAGTACAAATATTCAAAAATATTTCTACTAATTGTTTACATCCTCTAATGTCAGAAAAATAACTTTGATCACAGGCATGCAGACTATTACTACTCTTTATTCCAAGAACACAACAAAATGTATTTAACAGCTAAAACATGGATTTTGCAGGATATGTCCCTTTAAAGTAAAAGCCTGTAAGAGTGTAGACCATCATTTGTGCTGGAAGTGGATTCTGTTCCTTACTGCAAGAATAAAAGTGGTCCTAATTCAAAACGTCAGAATCTCAGAATTTATTTAAAAATACACTAACACTTAAAAAAAGCTTGTTCTTCAAACATCACACTAGCTGTGTTTCCATTGACTATGAAAATACGCAAATTAGAATTTCACAAATAAATTTGCTCAATGGCAACACGAGTTTTGGAAAAAAATTACATTTATCGACTAAATGTTTTTGCACTAGGATGAGGTGGTTTTTCAGTCGTATCTAAATTGGTGTTTTTCACAAAACTACAATGGAAACACTTTTTTCACATCACAGGAGTCACGTGATCAACAACC